GGGAATGTTCCAGAACGTTCCATTGGGAATGGGGATGGGGATAACACCGGCCACACCCGCTCCACAACCACCGTGCCCTGGGGAATGTTCCAGAATGTTCTAGTGTTCCCATTGGAAACAGGGATCGGGATGGGAACAGGGGGATTCGGCAGCCCTGGTGACCCCACAGACCCCATAACTGCCCCATAAACCCCCCACAGACCTCTCAGACCCCATAGAACCCCCACAGACCCCACAACGCCACTTCAGCCCCATTATCCCCCCAGACCCCATAACCTCCCCACTTTACACCCCATATCCCACAGACTCCCACGACACCCCCCCAGGATCCTATAGGACCCCCTACAAGTCCCAGACCCCATAACACCCCCACTGTACCCCCCCAGACCCTACAACCCCTCTCACAGCAGCCCCCAGACCCCATAACCGCCCCCAGATCATCCCAGACCCCACAGCCCCCCCACAACACACCTGGGACCCCATAACTCCCTCCTAGACCCTACAACCCCCCTGGATCCCATTGCTCCCCCCCAGACCCTATAACTTCCCACTAGAGGGAGGGTTTAGGATCTGGGGGTGGCTATGGGGTCTGAGGGGCTCTAATGGGCGATTATGGGGTCTGGGGGCTCTAAAGGGGGGGTTATGGGGTCTGGGGGCTCTAAAGGGGCGGCTATAGGGTCAGGGGGCTCTAAAGGAGGGATTATGGGGTCTGGGGGCTCTAAAGGCGGGTTTCAGGTCCTGAAGGGAACTCGAACGGGGTTATAGGGCCGGGTACGGTATAGTGGCTATAGGGTTCCATAACGGGGTATGGGGCTGGCTCAGGGCCCGTCCCGCCGCCCTCGGTACCGCCCCCGGTACTGACCCCAGTCCCACACCCGGCCACCTCCAGCCCCGGGGCCCCGGGGCCCTGGCTCAAGGCCCATCCCCGGTACCGACCCCCAAGCGCCCCCCCCAGCATTCCCGGTGTCCCGCCCTCACCGAGCCATGGCTCAGGCTCAGGGCCCGGCTCAGCACCCGTCCCGCCGCCCCCGGGCCCAACATGGCGGCCCCGCTGCCTCACGGTGCCTGAGGAGCCCGCGCTGCGCCTGCGCGGGACCCCGTGCAAGGACCCCAGCAGGGCTGCCCGCGGCGCGCCTGCGCAGGACCCTGTGCAAGGACCCCCCCCCCTCAGGGCTGCCCGCGGCGCGCCTGCTCCCGGTTCCCGCCGGTTCACGGCAGGCGGGGACGGAGCGCTGAGAAACATTCAACTTTTATTAACTCAGAACCACAAATAGTGCAACGGAACGCAAAACAAGGCGAGGAAACCGGGAACTCCCGGTAACGGAAGTGTCGTGTCCCGACAAGAGGCACAAGCGGAGATCCCCGCGGTTTGTCGGTGCGGCCTCCCGGAGGGCTCCGGACAGGGGGATTGCACGTGCTGGCGGCACCGGGAGCTGCTCCGGGTCACCGGGATGGGGTCACCGGGAACAGGCGGCTCCTGGGTCACCTCCACGGGGTCACCGGGAGCTTCTGGAGGGTGGCACCGGGAGCAGCTCCCGGTCACCGTGCCGGTGGCACCGGGCACAGGCTGCTTCAGGAGACCGTGACGGCGTCCCCGGGAACGGCAGCGGCTGTGGGACAGGGGAAGGGGGTCAGGGGGGGTCACACCGGTCCGGCTGGGACACACCGGGAACGGTGTCACAGGAATGGTGTAAACCGGGAATGGTGTCATGGGAACGGTGTCACCGGGAATGATGTCGTGGGAACAGTGTCACCAGGATGGTGTCACAGGAACAGTGTCACTGGGAATGGTATCATGGGAATGGTGTCATGGGAATGGTGTCACTGGGAATGGTGTCACGGAACGGTGTCACCAGCACGGTGTCACCGGACGGCCCCGGGCTCACCGGGCAGGCTGAGGCAGGACAGGGTCCCGGTGCTGTCCCCGGCGCTGTCCCCGGTGCTGTCCCCGGCGCTGTCCCCGGGGCTCTGCGGGGTCCCAGGCTCTGCTGGGCTCAGGATGGAGGCACAGCCGAGATTGTCCTGCCCGGGAAACGTGGGGTCAGCCCCACCGGGACACCGGGAGCCTCTGGGTCACACCCCACAGGGGACACCGGGAGTGGCCACGCCCCAGAGGGGACACCGGGAGTGGGAAGGGGGCACTGGGAAGGGACATGGGGACACCAGGACCGGCCACGCCCGGGAGGGGACACAGGGGAGGGGACACGGGGACACCGGGAGCAGCTCACCGGGGGCTCCTCGGGGGGCCTGGGCACGGCGTAGCCCAAACGCACCAGCTCTGCTCCCACGTCCAGGCTCTGTGGGGACAGCGGGAATGGGGACAGCGGGGACAGGGACAGCAGGGACAGGGAATGGTGGGAATGAGGGACAGGGGACAACGGGAGGGGACAATTGGGGACACACCTGGCCGTGGCGCTGGGTGAAGAGCTGCACGCTGGGCCGGGGGCAGGGCCCGGCCTGGCTGTAGCTGCAGATCCGGGCCACCAGCGGTGTCCACTGGGCACAGTGCGTGAGCCGGTCAAACTCGTCCAGAGCCGCCTCGGGCCAGCTGTCCCCTGGGGACACCGCGGGACACACCCCGGGTGGGCAGTGTCACCAGAGGGGAGGGGACAGAGCTGTGTGCCACGCCCCGGGAGAGGACAGGGCCATGTGCCACCCTCGTGTGCCACCCCCAGGAGGGGACAGGGCCAGAGGGGACAGGGCTCTGTGCCACCCCCAAGGAGGGGACATGCTGTGCCACCCCTGCTCACCGTTGGGGACAATCCCGGCCAGGCTGCACTCGATGGCCTGGAAGGGCAGGCTCAGGAAGTCGCTCCTGCAGGGACACGGTGAGGGCACTCCCAGGTGACACAGGGACATTATCCCGGCAGTGTCACCCCCCTGCCACACCTGAGGGCCCGCAGAGCCTCGGGGGGGGCCTCGCCGTTGTCCCCAAAGTCCACGTAGTACAGGTCCAGGTGGCCGTTGTCCAGTGTCCCCAGGACACGCGCCCGGTACCACTCGCCATCGTCCAGGTACGGAGCGGCCACGATGGCCCCGGCATGGACGGACGGGGGAGGGACCTGGGGACACGGGGACACTCAGGGGGACACGGGAGGGACACGGGGACAGTCCGGGGGACACGGGAGGGACACGGGGGGACAATGCTGGGACATGGCAGTGGGCACAGAGGGGACATGGGAGTGACATGGGGACACTCAGGGGACATGGGAGGGACACGGGGACAGTCCGGGGGACACAGGAGGGACACGGGGACAGTCAGGGAGAGACGAGGACAGTCCGGGGGACATGGGAGGGACACGGGGACAGTCGGGGGGACACGGGGAGGGACACAGGGACAGTCAGGGAGACACGGGAGGGACATGGGGACAGTCAGGAGGGACACGGGGACAGTCGGGAGGACACGGGGACAGTCGGGGGGACACGGGGACAGTGCTGTGACATGAGGGGACACAGGATGGGGGTAAAGGACATTAGGGGACAGAGCTGGGAAAGGAGGGGACACGGGATGGGGGTAAGGGACATGGTGGGGACAGTGCTGGGACACAGGGAGGACATGGAATGGACACAGAGGGGACACTGAGGTGACACCGAGGTGACACCGAGGTGACAGAGGGGACTCACGGGGGCGCTGCTCTGGTAGAAGTGCCCCATCTCGGCTGTCAGTTTGTCCAGCTGCAGGCTGCGTGTGCCCAGCAGTTGGATCCAGAAGTGCCCGGGGCTCTCGGCAGCTGACACGTAAACATCCAAATGCTCGTCTGCAGGGAAGCTGAAATCCGGGCTGGGCACTGCAGGGAGGAGCCCCAAATCATCCCCAAATCACCCCAAAATCCACCCCAAATTCCACAGAGATCACCCAAAAATCCCCCCTGAAATCCTACAGAAATCACCCCAAAATCCACCCCAAATCCCACAGAAATCATCCTGAAATACTCCTGAAATCCTACAGAAATCATCCCAAAATCACCCCAAAATCCTACAGAAATCAACCCACATTACCTCCAATCCCACAGAAAGAGAGAGAATCCCCAAAAATCCCTCCGGGAAAGGCACAGGAGAGCCACAGGATGGAAGGAACCCCCAAAAATCCCTTCAGGAAAGGCACGGGAGAGAGGGAATCCCCAAAAATCCCTCTGGGAAAGGCACGGGAGAGCCACAGGATGGAAAGAATCCCTAAAAATCCCTCCGGGAAAAGCACGGGAAGGGATGGAGGGAACCCTCCCCGTACCCAGGCTGTCTCAGCAATCCCACCCCCACCGCAATTCCCAGCGGGATCCACCCCAGCGCTGCTCTCACCCTCGAACTTGGGCACGGGCTCCTCCAGCTCTGGGTTCGGCTCCTCCAGCTCCGGGTTCGGCTCCTCCAGCTCCGGGCCCGGCTCCTCCAGCTCCGGGTTCGGCTCCTCCAGCTCCGGGTTCGGCTCCTCCAGCTCCGGGTTCGGCTCCTCCAGCTCCGGGTTCGGCTCCTCCAGCTCTGGGTTCGGCTCCTCCAGCTCCGGGTTCGGCTCCAGCCCCTCCAGCCCCTCGCTCCCCGCCGCCGTTCCCGTGCCAGGAGCGCTGTCCGGGATAGCCCCCGGTGGCCAGTGCACATCCCAGCACTCCTGCCAGCCCTCGGGGCCACCGGGAGGAGCGGGGGGCGGTGGCCCCGGAGGCTCCCGGCGGTTGCCCAGGGGCTGTTTCCGAGGGCATCGAGCGGCCGCCGCCTGCGCCAGCTCCCTGCGGAACGCTTTGTCCTCCGACAGCTTCTCCAGGATCAGCTTCTGCGAGCGGCCACGGGGTGAGCGCCCGCAGGCTCGGGAGGGGTTAAAGCACCCCAAAAAAAAACCAAAAAAACCCCGATTTGTGCTCACCTTGGCCGCCTCCACCTCCTTGCGCGTCCCCAGCAGGCGGATGATGCGCAGCGGGGCCAGGCTGGCGTCGGGCTCGTGGCCGCACTCCACGCGAGCCCCCGAGCTCCGGCAGATGCCCCGCACGGTCTCCCCGCCTCGGCCTGAGGGCGGCGGGAATGCCCCGGAGGGATCCCGGGGAAATGAGGGGGTTTGGGGTGATTTGGGGAGGGAAATGAGGCTTGGGGGAAAGGGGAGGGTCTGGGGGAGTGGGAAGGGGGTCTGGGATGTTGGGGAGTCTCGGATTTGGGAAGGGGGTCTTGGGATGTTGGGAAAGGAGTCTGGGATGTTGGGAAAGGGGTGGAAGAGTCCCAGGATAGGGAGGGGGACAGAGTGGCCAGGCCCCCCCTGGGGTAAAGGGAAAGGGGGGGAAAGCCCCTGGGACTGACAGGAAAAGCAATTCCAAGGAATAGGGAGAAAGGGCTGGAAGGGCCCCCCAGGAATGGGGTGGAAGAGCCCCAGGATTTGGGGGAAAAGCACTGGAAGGGCCACCTGGGATTGGGGGTTCCCCCAGGATTTGGAGTGTCCCTGTGGCTATGGAAGGTTCCCCCAGGATTTGGGGCTGTGGAGGGTTCCCTCCATGATTTGGGGTGTCCCCAGGGGATACAGACCCTTCCCCCCAGATTTTGGGGTGCCCCATACCGATGATCCTGCCCACAGCCCTCTGGGGCACACGGAGCTGCTCGGCCACGGGAGCGCTGTCGGCCACGATTCGCAGCACGGCCGCCCTGGCCCGGCACACCTGGCCAGGTGAGCCCGAGATCTGCACCAGGGACTGGCCCCCTTCCTCCTCCTCCTCCTCCTCCTCCACATCGATCTGCGCTCCCGTCTCCTGCCTCAGCTGCGGCCGCACAGAGGGCGGTGCCGGTCACCCCTGCCGGTGCTCCCGGTGACCCCTCCCAGGGCTCCCGGTGGTCCCGGTGACCCCTCCTGGTGCTCCCGGTGACCCCTCCTGGTGCTCCCGGTGACCCCTCCGGGTGGTCCTAGCACTCCCAGTGACCCCTCCCAGTGCTCCCAGTGCTTCCTGTGCCCCCTCCTGGTGCTCCCGGTGACCCCTCCCGGTGCTCCTGGTGACCCCTCCCGGTGGTCCTAGCACTCCCAGTGATCCCTCCCGGGGCTCCCAGTGCTCCCTGTACCCCCTCCCGGTGGTCCCGGTGGTCCCGTTGGTCCCAGTGACCCCTCCCGGTGGTCCCGGTGCCCCCTCCCCACCTGGTTGATGGTGGCTCCCCGGCGGCCGATCAGCGATTTCAGCGCGCTGCGGGGCACCCGCACCCCGACCTCCAGCCCCTCGTCTGCCACCACGGTCACCTGCACCTCTGAGGGGACAACGGGGACAGGGCTGTGTCCCCAAAGGGTCCCCAGGGGGCACGGAGGGGTAGGACCCTCACCCCAGGGAATTCCCAGTGGGAAAAGTGACTCCAGTGGGCCCCCACTTCCCAGGGTGTCCTCACAGGGTCCCCCAAGGGTCCCCAGGGTGTCCCCAAAGGGACGGGGACCCCTCCCAAGGGGGTTACAAGGGGAATCCCAGAGAGAAAAGTGGCCCCAACAGCCTCCTCCTGTCCCCAAAGGGTCCCCACAAAGTCCCCAGAGGGTTCCAGGGGGTGACAAAAGGACAGGGACTCCCTTGTGGAGGTCACAGGGGAATTCCCTGCGGGAGGAGTGACTCCAGCAGCCTCCCCATGGAAGGGCACAGAGGGTCCCCAAGGTGTCCCCAAGGTGTCCCCAGGGTGTCCCCAAAGTGTCCCCCGAGGGTTCCAAGGGTGTCCCCAGGGTGTCCCCGGGCATCACAAAGGGACAGGGACCCCCCCTGCGGAGGTCACAAGGGAATTCCCTGCGGGAGAAGTGAGTCCCGCAGCCTCCCGCTCCCCACGGGGCCCCGAGGGAGGTCAGGCCCCGGTGCAGGGCCCCGCACTCACCTCGGCTCTCCCGGTAGCGCCGGTACAGGATGTAGAGCACGGTGGCGGCGGCGGGGACTCCCAGGAGCAGGGCGGTTTTCTGCAGGCTGCTCAGGCTGTGCACGGAGCCGCGTCCCGCCATGGCCGGCTGCGTTCGGGGCTTACCGGGGCCTTACCGGGGCCTTACCGGGGCTTACCGGGAGCCCACCGGGAGCTCCCGCTGCGGCCGGGCCGCGCTTCACCCTCCAGCCCGGGGACTCCCCGGCAGCCTCCCCCCGCTCGTACCCTCACGGAGGGCTCGGCTCCGGGCCCGCCGGTGCAGGCCCCGGGCCCGGTGCACCGGCAGCGGAGCCCCCGCAGACACCTCGGCAGCGCCCCCCGGGTGGTCTCACGGTACCTGCAGGTGACGGGGTCACACCCCGGCCCCGTAGCGACCCTGGTTCGGCCCGGCCCGGTCCCGAAAGGCCCCGGTTTGGGCCCGGCCCCGGTTCGGGCCCAATGCGGCCCCGGTGCCGCCGCCGCCGCCTCCCGCGCCCCGCCGCTGGCTCCGCCTCCTCCCGCTCTCCACCAATCACATCCCGGCTCCTCCCCTCTTAGCCAATCACAGCGCAGCTCCGCACCGCCCCCGCCCAATCACCACCTGCGGAGCAGCAGCCAATCCCCGCGAGGCCTCCCACAGGGGAGGGCGGGAAATAACGGGAATAAAGCAGCCAATCAGCGGCGAGTAGCGGGGAAGAACCAATCAGAGAGCAGGAAAATGCGAATGCCCGCCTTCTGATTTGAGTGACAGGCACGAGAGCCTATGGCGGCTCGGAGCGCTGCGCGGGGCGGGGCTGGGCTGGGCTCGAACACCGCTCCCGGTGTCCCCGCGTGTCCCCCGTGACGGAGCCCCCGCACATGCCGTCCCCAAAAACGCTTTTATTCCGCTCAAACGCAGCCGCGACCACTCCCCACTGTCCCCATGGGACACCCACGGGTGACAGGGACAGCGGGGACCCACAGGTGACAGAGCCTCGCCAGGTGCCGCGTCCCCTCCAGGTGCCGCATTCCCGGCAGGTGCCTGCGTGGGAACAGCCCCAGGTGTCCCCAGGTGTCCCCAGGTGCAGGGGCGGTCCCGGTGGTCCCGGATTCGGGCTCAGCGGGGTCAGGGCTGGTCCCGGTGGTCCCAGTGGTCTCGGCGGTCCCCGGGCCGCGCTCAGCGGGTCCCCGCGGGGACATCGGCGGGGTCGGCGGCGAAGAGCTCCCGGTAGAGAGGGGGGAAAGCGGCCGAGACGACCCCGGGGTGGAGGCGGCGGAAAGCCTGGACCTGCTCCAGGTGCTGCGAGCACAGAGCGCGGAGCCGGCCCGGGGAGGGGAGCTGCGGGGACACGGCTGTCACCGCACGGACACGGCTGTGACACCGCGGACACGCGTGGGGACACGGCTGTGACAGCACAGACACGCGGGGGGGACCCTCTACTCCCCCAGCGCCCCCGTGTCCCTCCCCGGTGTCTTCCCCGGTGTCGCCTCCCCATGTCCCTCCCCATGTCCCCTCCCGTGTCCCTCCCCGTGTCCCCTCCCGTGTCCCCCGTGTCCCCACCCTGGCCAGGAGCCCCTCGCGGCGGGTCCGGCGCAGCAGGAGCCGGAAGGCGACATCCAGATGTCCCTGGAGCCGGGCCACCCGCGGCCGGTCCTGCAGCCACGGCCGGCCTGGGGACACCACAGGGGCGTGGGGACACGGACACAGGTGTGGGGACACCACAGGGGCGTGGGGACAGAGCTGGGGGTACACGGACAGGTCTGGGGGCACAGGGACAGAGCGGTGGGAACACTGACAGGGACAGAAGGGAGGGGACACGGACAAGGCTGGGGACAGGAACCATCTGTGAAAGGGAGCGCGACAGGCGACGCACAGGGTGGGGACACTGTGGGGGACACCCTGGGGACACCTTGGGGACACCCTGGGGACACCCCATCCCTCTTTAGGACAAACCCCGCGGGTTTGGGACAAACCTTCTCTGGGGAGGGACACGGGGACACAGGGACACGGGGCGGGGACACGGAGGGGACACGGAGGGGACACGGAGGGGACACGGAGGGGACACGGAGGGGACACGGGGGGGACACGGAGGGGACACGGAGGGGACAGGGCGGTGGCTGACCGGCGTTGACGAGCAGCAGAGCGCTCAGCAGCCCCAGCTCGCTCTCGGAGCAGCGCAGCGCGCTCAGCCCCTGAGCCAGGTCGAAGATGGACGCGACGAGCTCGGGGCACCCTGGGGACAGCCCCGTGTCACCTTCTGTCCCCGCGCTGTCCCCGCGCTGTCCCCCGCCCGTGTCGCCGCCCTACCCAGCGAGCGGAAGAGCTCGGGCCCGGCCAGTTTGCCCTCGAACAGGACCGTGCGGGTGGCGGCGTCGAAGGCGCGACACATCCGGACCAGGACGACCTCCATGGCACCTGTCACCCCCGCGGGGCGGCGACAGCGCTGGTGGCACCGGCGACACCGCCACCAACCCGAGGGGCCCCACTCGGTGGTGGGCCGGGGCGGTGTCACCTCCCCAGGGAGGATGAGGGGACTTTGGGGACTGTCACCTCCCCGTGGGACACACGAGATTGTCACCTCCCCTGGGAGGATGAGGGGACTCTGGGGACTGTCACCTCCTTGTGGCACCTTTGAGATTGTCACTTCCCCATCACCTCCCCGTGGGACCCCTGGGACAGTCACGAGGGTGGTCCTAGGTCTGGGGACAGTGGGACAGGGTGACCCTGGGGCTGGGGACAAGGGGACAGAGTGTCCCTGGGACAAGGACAGCAGGGACAGGGTGTCCCCAGGGCGGGGGACAAGGACATGAGGTGTACCCAGGACTGGGGACAAGGGAGTGAGGTGGCCCTGAGGATGGGGACAACGGGATGGACCGTCCCCGGGGATGGGGACAAGGGGTCAGGGTGGCCCCGGGCTGGTGACAGTGGCCCGGGGACGCGGTGGCCGCGCACCCGCCTTGAGCAGGACGATCTGGTCGTGCTGGCTGAGCTCCAGGAAGCCCCGCAGGCGTTTGGCGAACTCCACCACGCGCTCGATGGCCTCGGTGACACGGCGGGCACAGCGCTGCCACATCTCCGCCATGGGCTGCGGGAGCGGCTGTCACCCCGGGGCCACCCCTGGGGACAGCCGTGTCCCCTCCCCGCCCCGCACCTGGCTCTGGTAGGCGCAGATCTCCTCGCGGCTGAAGGTGGCCCAGCGGTGGCCCTGCAGGTCCTCGGCGCGGGGGTGGCACGTGGCACGGTGTGACAGCAGGACGCTCTGGGTCAGCAGCTCTGAGGGGACATGCAGGGCTTGGGGACAGGCGTGGGGACAGGGTGGGTAGCCCGATGTGTGGCCTTGGCAGGTCACCAGGGTGGAGCATCCACGGGTGTCACTCACACGCAGGTGCCACCACCCGTGGGTGACAGAGCCAGGTGCCATCAGTGATGGAGCCGGGTGTCACCCCCATGCAGCTCCCACAGGTGACATCCCGAGGTGCCACCACCCCAGGTGACACTGCCAACCCCGCAGGTGACACTGCCACCCCCGCAGGTGACAGTCCCCCGGGGCCACTCACCGATCTCCAGCCCCGCGGGTGACTCCGGGACGCCGCCGGCACCGGGGTGAGGGGACGGCGCTGTCCCCGCTGTCCCCGCCCTGTCCCCATCCTGTCCCCGCTTTGTCGCCTCCTCCGCTGGCCACGCCCTGCTGGGACACCCCGCGGGGACAGCGGGGGACATCGGGGGACAGCGCCCCGCGGGGGGGGGCTCCGGTGGCCCCTGGGCCGCCCTCTCCTGCTCCCGCTGTTCCCCTTTTCCCCCTTTCCCCCCTTTTCCCCGTTTTTCCCATTTTTCCCGTGGTTCCGGCTGTTCCAGCTGTTCCAGCTGTTCCAGCTGTTCCCGGTTTTCCAGCTGTTCCAGCTGTTCCCGGTTTTCCCGCCGTCCCAGCTGTTCCAGCACCTCGGCCTGGAGCCGGTCCCGCTGCTGCTTGGACATGCGGCCGAACTTGACGGCTGCGGGGACAGAGGGGACAGCGGGTGACACCGGAGTGTCACAGAGCCGCGACACGGCCCTTCCTCACCGACACCTCGGGCTGTCCCCAGGGTGTCCCCAGGTGTCGCCGCGGTGGGGACAAGTGTCCTCGGGGGAGGGGACGGGCGTGTCCAGCTTTGGGGGACAGCTGTCCCCAGATACGGGGACACCGGGGGACTCCAGATGTCCCCAGGGCGGTCTCGAGTGTCCCCAGGCGCACAGATTAATGTCCCCAAGCCGGGTGTCCCAAGGGGCACAGAGTGGTGTCCCCAAGCCAGGTGTCCCCAGGGTGACAGGGCGCTGTCCCCAGACCCAGTCCCTGGTGTCCCCAGGCCCGGTGGCGCTGTCCCCGCGCTGTCCCCTCGCTGTCCCCGCTCTGTCCCCCCGCTGTCCCCGCGCTGTCCCCGCGCTGTCCCCGTGTCACACACCGGCTCGGGACATGCCGAGCCGCAGGCACTTCTGCAGGCGGCAGTGCTGGCAGCGGGTGCGGGTGGCTCTGTCGATGTCGCAGCGCTGCCCGCGGCTGCACGCCAGGCTGGGCCCGCGCCGCTCGCTGCGCCGGAAGAAACCCTGCGGGGACACCGGCGACATCGGTGTCACCATGTCACCGGTGTCACCATGTCACCAGTGTCACCGTGTCACCAGTGTGACCAGTGTCACCGTGTCACCAGTGTCACACCATGGCGCCTCGTGGCACATCAACCCGTGCCACCCCCTGTCCTCCTGTCCCCATGTCCCTCCATGTCCCCCATGTCCCCCCCTTACCCCCCCCATGTCCCCTGTCCCCCCTGTCCCCTGTCCCCCCTGTCCCCGGTGCACCTTGCAGCCCTCGCAGGTGATGACCCCGTAGTGCACCCCGGAGGATTTGTCCCCGCAGATCTTGCAGGGAATCACCTCGATGTGAGCTGGGGGGACACGGGGACATTGGCACGGGACACCTGGCACAGGAGCCCTGTCACCAGGCACCCGCAGTGCCACCCGTGTCCCCACCCGTGTCCCCACCCGTGTCCTGCCGTGCTCTCCCCACGTTCAGGTGTCCCCATGGGCTCGTGGCACCAGGTGTCACCTGTGGCTTCACATTGTCACCTGTGGGACCAGGTGCCACCTATGGGACCGAGTGTCCCCTGTGGCTTCAGCTGTCACCAGTGGGACATGTCCCCTGACCCCTCACGTGTCCCCTGTCCCCTCACGTGTCACCACACGGTCCCACGTGGCCGCTGTGACCCCCGTGTCCCCTCCACACTGACGTCACCGTGGGCGCACACATCCCCCACGGCTCCCAGTGTCACCTGTGTCACCCGTGTGCCACCCACGGTGTCACTGACCCTGCCTGTCCCCTCTGCTGACAGTGTCCCCTTTGGTCACAGGTGTCACGGCTGGGCTGGGGTGTCCCATTGGGGACAATGTCCCCGCTGTCCCCGGTGTCCCCGGTGTCCCCAGTGTCCCCTGAGCCCCCCCAGTGTCCCCAGTGTCCCCAGTGTCCCCGCTGTCCCCAGTGTCCCCAGTGTCCCTTGAGCCCCCCCAGTGTCCCCGCTGTCCCCAAGGTCCCCGGTGTCCCCAGTGTCCCCAGTGTCCCCTGTCACCCGGTGCCGGCGGCTGCCGAAGCCACAAAGCCACAACTGGGACACGGCCCCGGGGCAGGAAACGCGCGGGGCCCTGGGAGCTCCCAGTACGGCCCAGTATAGCCCCAGTACAGAACTGGGAGTTCCCAGTACGGCCCAGTATAGCCCCAGTACAG